CAAAATCATTGAATTTGATTTACTAGATGTAAAGATATTATGTCTTAAAAACACCATTTAAAATTGTTCAAAATTATATAAAATTTCTTTATCATTCTGCGAAAAAAATTGATTTTTGCAAATATCTTTGTATTCAATGAACCAAATTAAATGAATTTGGTACTATTGTAAAGATTTAGTTAAGGTGTATTTAATATTAACAAAATTATTGAATTTGACTAACTAGATGCTGAGATATCATGTTTCAAAAATAATGTACAAAATTATGAAAAAATTTTGTACAATTTTGTATGTTGTTTTTGAAATATGATATCACTGCATCTAGTTTGCCAAATTCAATAATTTTGTTATTATTAGATGTGCCTTAACCAGACTTTTCTAATGGTACCAAATTCATTTAATTTGGTTCATTGAATATGAAGATATTTGCAAAAATCAATTTCTTTGCAGAATGGTAAAGAAATTTATATAATTTTAAATGATTTTGTATGGTGTTTTTAAGATATAATATCTCTGTATTTAGTAAATCAAATTCAATAATTTTGATACCATTAGATACGTCTTGACTAGATCTTTCTAATGATATTAAATTAATTCAATTTGGATCATTACATGCAAAGATATTTGCATTTCTTTAAACTGGATTTATTTTTTTCATCTTTCATCACTAGATTCGAAGTTTACTGCAATTCTGCTAGTATTTTAAATTTCTGATAATTTGAATTTTTAATTGTTAATGAATATTCCTCACTTGTGAGAAGAACAAAGTGAAAAAATCTTTGTTATTGTTATTACTAATTATATTATCTTAGTTTTAGAAAGCTTTACACAAGTATAGAATTACTTTTTTAAATTCTCTTTATTATTTTTTTTATTCTCTCTTCCCTTTGACTTTTACTCTCTCACAACTCTTCCACATTATTATTTCTTTTCAAGTAAATACAATTTCTGTAGATATTGGCATAGATCTTAGATATCCCTCTTTTCTCTTAATATTTTCTTTATTAGTTTATATCTTCTTTCAATTCAGATTTTTATTTGTAAGCTAATTTTATGATTAGAGAACAAACTTGTAACAATAATCTTACTTTTCAATATCATATTAAAGATAGACTGAATCAAAAGAAAATCAATACTCTAATCTTATAGTGCATATTCTATAATTTTTTACTATATTTTATCAAACTCACTATCCTCAACAAGAATATTCTTTGTTCACTACTTGAACAATTCTTTCATCTCTCTCCAAATATATCAACAATATTACCCTCAATAATCTTGTTTTTGTGAATAATATTATCTGGATTGCAAATAATCATAATATTATAGCACAATTTTACAAAATGTGTGACATAGAAATTAATTCAAAAATATATTATCTACTTTAGAAATTCAGAACTACCCCCTAATATTACTCTATATATTGGATTACCTCTCAATCAAATACAAATTCTTCTCCTTTTTGTCTGCACAAAATATTTTAGACTCTTTATTAACAAACTTTTAACACACAACTTCAAAAAATCAGATCTGAAATTTCCTTTATCTCTAATTTATTATCAAGAAAATATATAATTGATAAATAAGCAATATACATCTTCAACTAGATATTCATTCCAGTTTTTGAATACTGCACATAACTTTTTATTGTATTAAAATCTAAATGTGAATCACTCATGTGCTAATTCAAGAAAGTCATAAAATCCAAATTCAATTTGCTCTTTTTTTTTCAAATTCAGCAATTTATCACTCATACTTTCTCACTTTGGATCACTTATGAACAATTCAAAGTAGATTAAAAATCACAAAACTCTACTATAGACTTAATGATACATCAATTTTAGAAATAGCAACACATTTTTATCTTCAAGCTCTTCAAAACAAAAATAATTACATCATTTAGTACTTTCACATTCTACTGTAGAACCAACTAAAAATGATTACAACTTAATTCACTATTATATGAAAGAAATATATTATTATTCATATTTAACAATCATAATTTTCTTCAATCTGACAATAATTCATAATGATCTATTGATAATTTTTTTCTCAATAATCCATTGATATTTTCTTTCCTTAATGATCCCAATATTACAAAGTCAGACAAATTTTAAAAAATAACTCAGTCATATCATTACAACAACTTTCAAACTACAACAAAACTGAACTCATCAATTGGTGATAATACAAATCACGCTTTTGCATCAATTCCACTCCATTTTGGTTCAAATATTTGGAATCAATCCTCATTCAAAACAATTCTATTCCATCAAGATTTATAATAAAACTGAACATCAAATAGCCCTTCCTCTTGACTCAAATAAGTTCACATGATTTAATTATAAAATTTAGACTAATAGAATAGCATGTCTCATAGTTTTATTATTATAATATGTCTTTAAAGAAACGAAAGATCAAATTAAAAGCTGCACAAGCAATATAGGTAGCAAAATTGCATCATCTTATAAACCAACCTGATTCTATACTTGTCAATAAAGTTAATGAAATTAACTCTTTTAATAACTTTGAAGAAGATTAGAAAAAATGTAGCACTTGCAAAAGAATTGTATCAAAATACTAAACTATCTTCAACCAATAATAATTTAAAGTGATCTTTACGATATATTTGTAATTCTAAAAGGACAGCATTTCGTAAAAAAGCACAATTAAAGTATGTTGTGCATATTTATAGTGCTCATCAGAAGTAATGGATCCCCCATAGATCATGTGTAATGTACCGAGCACAAAGAACATTACAAATGCTGATCATGATACCTTCTATAGAGGTAGAGCTTCTATATCGGGTATTGTATGTTCATAAACTTTCATGCCCAAATACAATAATCTGCCGATTTGAGCAAAAATACTACCATTTGACTTTCCTAGATTAGACAAATCGAATGGTAGTATTTTTGCTCAAATCGGATGCAAAAGCAATAAAAAAAAAAACGGCGGAACGAACGAGAATCCTAATTACTTTTTCTTTTTTGTTAATTAGAGAATAATCTCGTCTCGTCTAATTCATTAGTGAAAAATGTATCTCTGGACGTCGAGATATTATGTCCTAAAATGACCGATTCATATTTGTCGATCAACTTTTCATTAAAATTGATCGCCAGAAAAATGAATTGGTCAATTTAGGAGTTAATATCTCGATCGCAAGTGATCCGATTCAAAAAAAATAATATCATTCGATTTGTCTAGTCAAGACGAATCGAATGGTTATATATTTTGTTTGAATCGGATCACTGGAGATCGAGTTAATGTTAAAAAAACAAATCTGCTAATTTAGGACGCAATATTTTGACGTCCAGTGATCCGATTTGAATAAAAATATTACCATTCGATTCACCTCGACTAGGCGAATTGAATGGCATGTTTTTTGTTCAAATCGGATCACTGGACGTCAAAAGTTAGATTATTTAATATTGAGATTATATTTGGGACGTGAAAGTTTATGAACATACATACAATACCCGATATAGAACGTAATGTTCTTTGTGCTCGGTACATTACACATGATCTATGGGGGATCCATTACTTCTGACGAGCACTGTAGTGACACATTTTAGGAAATAATAATAAGCATCGAATTTAAAATTAGTCAAAATTATGAATGAATTAATTCAGTCTGACTCACGTGATTTATAATATATGACGTGTGACCTTACCGACTGCCAATTTCTGGTAGCCTAGATAAAATGGGTTAAATTCATATAGTCTGAAAGATAGAATATTAAATAAACAATTGGTTTTGTATCATTTGATATAACTTATTAAAACTATTGAATGACTCAGTTTATTAAAAACAATTGTAGTTAACATTCTATTCATTTATTTTTTTTATTATCGAGTTCCTGCACTATACAAGATTTTTGTATACTGTATATTGATTTAGTCAATATAACGATTTAATTCAAGTTACGTATCGTCATTCATTTTCCACATTTCCATTTTGACATGTTTCACAGATTTACAAAAAATTTAACCCTTAGCGTTAGCACAGTGGGACTTGTCCAAAAATCTAATTGGACTTTGGGTAATTTGATTTGTCCAAATCTTAACATCGGACATTTTAATACCCGTTTCATAAAAGCAGACATTTAAAGGCATCCGATCTTTAATTTTGATCTACTTCGTTAATATAACCAAGTCATGTGATTTTTTCTGTCCAAAACCTCTTGGTTTTCGGCAGTATTATTTGTCCAAAATTGTTCAATTGTCCAATCCCAACGCTGCGTTAGCATTCAGACATTGCTTGCATATTTCTCTGTACGGAAGTTTGTATATTAGTATGGCCGAATCAGGCACGGCGCAAAAAAATACCATTTTATCAGCAATAGATAGTTTTCGTTGAATGGATGAAAGAATAAAAATTTGGATTAGACTAGAATTATGAATTTCCTTGTGATTTTATTATACATTCTAATCATTTGTGCATGGAATACGTAATTAAATTATAACAATTTCCGTGGCAAGCAAATTAAACTTACGTATACCGTTTAGCACTGTATACAATATCCAGGGTCTTATTCAAAAATTGTAGTTTATAAATTGAATAGTACCCGTGGGTTATTGTGTATGAAACCGGGTATTATATTTGGAGTAATATGTATTCTACAGATGGTATTATATTTAGGAGTTATATTGTATAGAGAATTTTATATAGTGTCTACATCATCATGGGGGATATTATTGGGACTAAACAGTAATCCATGCGGTTTAACTTTAATTATCTTGTAATTAGTACGAGCTCTTTATAGTTTTCCCGAATTCTATTAAAAAGATCATCTTTTTATCAAATTACCAACCAAAATTTACGCATCTATATTAAAAAGAAGATAAATATCAGGTTAATTTGACAAATGCTTTTTCTTATCCGACTTTCTCGGATCTGATATATTGTTCAATTATAACAAAAACAACATTTAGACATTTAAAAAATAATTCGATTTCCTTTCACATTACTTAATAAATCTTTCTATACATGTAAAGCAATGTCATCTTCTATATCACAGATCACGACGAAAGCAACAACAAATGACAATCTTGCTGTAAAAATAGAGTCAACAGTAGAAGAGACAACATCGGCTACTCTAACAACATCTCAAGATGAAAAAGAGAAAAGCGAAAAAGACCCTGGTTTCGTCAAATTGCCAACAAAAGATATTGCGTTTTTGTTTGTTGGATTAGTCTTGGCGTGTTTTTTGGCTAGTTTAGATGGTAATTTCATCGATTTTGTTAATGATTTATTTTAGATCTTTTTTCTCACTCTTTTCAAATGCTAGATAGGCACAATTATTAGCACAGCACTTCCGAGAATTGCAACTGAATTTGGCGCCTTAGATCGCTATAGTTGGGTAAGTTTCCCAAGTTCATACTACCGCTATGTGCATGTCATGTATCATTCCCATCAATGAAGTATATGCATTTTCATATTTTTGACAGGTGGCCACCGCATATTTATTAACCTATGTAAGTACATGTAATAATGTCGTTTGGATATTGATATGTACGGTCTTCGGAGTTTAAATTGTTGATTTTCTAGAATGCTTTCCAACCACTCTATGGAAAATTTTCCGATATATTTGGACGAAAAAATACATTACTATTCACGGTGCTAGTTTTCTTGTGTGGATCAGCAGGATGTGGAGCTTCGAATTCCATGGATTTGCTCATTTTTTTCCGAGCTGTGGCTGGAATCGGTGGTGCTGGAATGATATCATTAGTATTAATTATAATTAGTGATATTTTCCCGTTGGAGGAAAGGCCAAAATATCAAGCTATTATTTGGGCAACTTTCGGTTTTTCTAGTGTTATCGGACCATTGTTAGGTGGCGCATTTGTCGATCATTTGACTTGGCGATGGGATGCGAGTATTCCTCTTTAATCACCATCGAGATTATTTCATTTTTCCTAACCTATTTGCATAATATATGTTACAGTTTTACATTAATCTTCCTTTTGGGGCATTTACAATCGCGGCAACAATGTTCTTCTTACGACTTCCATTCAAACTAACATCATTCCGAGAAAAATTAGCAAGAATCGACTATCTCGGCTCAACCTTGATCATTATGATCGTCGTCGCAATTCTATTACCAACTTCTTGGGGCGGCACAACTTATGCATGGAATTCGGCTCCAGTGATTTCATTATATTGTACCGCGGTTGTTCTTATCGCAATCTTTATTTTTATAGAACTTCGAATTGCAGCTGAACCAATTGTCCCCGGACACATTTTCAAAAGTATCACAGTCTGTGCCGTATACATTACAAATTTCTTCACCGGTGCCGCATTTTTCTCTATAATTTTTTACGGTCCACTATATTATCAGGCGATTCATGGCCAATCCGCCACAAATTCCGGATTAAAACTACTGCCATTGATGCTGGGTCTTGTGGTTTTTTCGATGTTGTCTGGTGCGGCGGTCACTAAAGTTCCCGGTGGTTACAGAACTTTTATTTGGCTTGGTACGATGTTGGTTGTTGTTGGCGAGGGATTGTTGAGTACTTTTAATCAACACACGTCGGGTGTTGCACAAATTTTTTATTTATTGATTATTGGAATTGGATTGGGATGCGAGTTGCAAATGTGTTTATTGGCTGTTCAGAGTGCTTCCGCAAAAGAAGGTAAAAGAACCTGTTATTTGCTATCGTTAATATTAATAATTTTAATTACTAACAAGCTTTATTTTATTTAGATATGGCAATAGTCACAGGATTAGCTGGATTCTTTCAATCAATCGGTGGTGGTATTGGTGTCGCAGTAGCATCCGCAATTTTCTCCAATGGAATAAAATCGCACCTTCTTAAAGAAGTTTCACCCGAATTACTGGTAAGTAGATTGTAATATAAACTTATTCTATTAAATCATATAATAATATAATTCAATTTAATTTATATAGACTCCACAAGTAATAGACATTGTACAGAACAGAATTTCCGATGTAATGATATTACCAGAACCGGTTTACTCACAAATAATCCAAGTCTACGTTCTTTCCCTTCAATCCGTTTTCCGAGCTAATATCCCGTTTGCTGGCATCGCGTTTGTCTCATCATTGTTTATTAGGAAACATGAGTTGGTTGATTTGAAGGAGTCACAACAGCACATGGCTGCTTGATTTTTATTTGATTTTATCTAAACGTTATTATTGACTTCTTTTAATACTATTCAGTCATCCCTTATATAAAAGCACGCTATAACAAAAATAATTTTAGAACCAATAATATAGTGTGTGAAATTTTACTTTATTCAAAAACAATTTTTTTGGTTTCCAACCCGGTTTTTATATACCATCTAAGAAAATTTGCATGTAATATGTTTGTAAAATGTATGGAAATATACGAAAAAGTCTGATATTTTTGTGAAAGACATTTAAAAGGTCACTTTTTTTTTACATACATATCAATATAAACACGTAAATCGCATACTGATACTGTGCAGTTTATCCTACATTTTTATAATTTACGTCTGTAAAACACGTAGTGAGGTTATGCAGACATAACAGACTTTTTCGTGTATTTCCGGACTTTTTTTTTACAGACGTATCTTGAAATTTCCAGGCGTATTTTTCTTATAGATACTGATTTATTACTCACATTTACGTAACTCCGCTGTACTTATGGTTGTTAATCGGTCCCAACAATTTTAAAAATTACTAATTCTAGAAAGTTGAATTGCTCAATTAAATCATTGCTATAAATATTATCAATAGTTTGTGAAATAAAAATTATCTCCAAAATCAGCAATTTTTCTGTGATTGTTTCGGTCCTGGGACAGTCCCAAACCCATTCCAAATTCTACATTTTAAAAGATTCTGATTTCTCAAGAAGTTTTATTGCTTATTTTCAATAAGTAACTCATATTAAAACTTGTAAGGAAAAAATTATCTCTAAACTAATAATTTTTGTGGGACCGTTTGGACTGGTTAACAGCTATAGGTGTACAGTGTACGTGTACATATATATTGAAATCACAGCGATAGAAAAAATAACGCTGCGCCAAGTAAAAATAAATATTATAATCTTAAAAATCCAAGTAGTCTTGCACAAAACTTCCATTAGTCCGATGAACCTGTAAAGAGTTTTTACTGTCAGCAGAAAGTTTTTTTTTTAGAAATAACAAATCAATGCTGGAAACAAAGCAAACATAGTATTGGATTTTACTCAGATTCTTGTATTACTGTATCAAAAAAAAACCAGCATTCAAATGGGGCTGCTGTTATTTAGATGGAGCGTATTTTCCGTGTGATCTTTATTATTAAAATGATTTTGAATATTACTGGATAGTCTTCAAGACAATTGTATGTATTGCTCTACGGTAGATGAAAGTATTATAAACATGAAACGAATCTACGGATATGACTATCTTGCTAGTTTAGATGAGATATTTGCGCGTGTACTGATAAAAAGCGACGGGCATGACAATTTGCTATCGGACGATACGCGTTGTTATCTTTTTTGTTGAATATCAAGTAAAATTATAGCTTATTGATATATTACACATATTCTCCCCTACAAAAAGTATTTTATATACGTATTGTTATATAAATCACATGATTTCTATCAATGGCGGTTTTGGAAGGAAACTTGAATGATAATTAGTATTGCCTGTGCCGATATCATTTATTTAAATAGCTCGCTTCTTTTAATCATATCTAAATCTAATTTGGTTTTAACACACGTCTTTACCAAGATCAATTGATCTTCCTGACAATGAATCAAGGCTCTAATTTATTTGGAGAATAACAATTCTAATTCTTTTATTGAGGCCCATAGATATTATATACATTTTTTTGGGAGTTTTACATAGTAGTAATATAGAACAAAGGAAATAGATTATGCGATATAATACACTAAAATTCATGACAAAAATGCGATTTGAAGAGAACACAAGATATAATTAAAGGCATTGTTTAAGAGAGAATATACAAAATATAAATAAGAGATCCATTGTAATAAGCAATTTAAAATAAAATTTGTGTTTTTCATTTCTCGTTTATTTTTCAAGTGCATTGGTTTGGTGTTGTATTTTATTGTTGCTTGATTTGAGAGAGGTGTCTGCATTTTGGTTTTGCTTTCCAAACTAATAAGCAATAGTAAATGTGTGCTCAAGCATAGTTATAATTCGTTTAGAGATCTTGGATTTAGTTTTGATTTGCTTAGAAAACAGATATTATATACTGATAAATATCATAAATTTTTTTAATATATATTTCAAAAATCTCTCTTTCATAAAATATATGAAATAGAGCTCTTTTTTATTATTGAATTTGCAAAAGCATGTTAAAAATAATAATTCCAAATTTTATTTTGATAACTAAAAGATTTTAAGTAGATTATTCAGTCTATATAATATTTTATAATCTTTTATAAAACAAACTTAATTTAAATATTACCACAAATAATTTATAAAGTGTGTTAAGAACTATAAAAATTTTAATAATTATATTCACTAAACTAAAATAAAATATAATTAAATATTAATTTGAAGTTGTAATCAAATTGAAATTTTGAGTTATATTATAAATAAAAAATTCAAAACTTGCAATTTTTAGAGACTTTATTATCTTTATTAAACTTAAAAAAAATTGACAATAGCTTGTTAAATATAAATAACTATAAAATTTAAAATTAATATAATATTATTTGAAATTTTTTGTAATTAATATTACTAATAAGAAATATTAATATTATTAAATTTAATAATTACATAAAATCTAACTATTATTAATAATATTAATTATTTAAATATATAATATAATAAAAATAATAGTTTAATATATATAAAATACTTATAAATACTATATATTTTCTCAAAAATAATAACATTAATATTAATTAATTTATATTAGAATTTTAATTCTAATTCTAAATCAAATTTTAATTACTTAATTAAAATATATTATTTATAAAAGTTATTTTATAAATTTTTATATACTTATATATTTTTTGAATTAATTAAAAAATTATAAAATTATAACTATAAAAAATTAAAATAATAATAATTAAAGTTATAAAGTATAATTAAAATTATATATATTTTTTATAATAATTAAATAGACAAATTACTAATTATTAATTAATAATTAATTAAATAACTATATTAATTATATAATTATATTAATACTAAAATTATTAAATATAAAAATAAAAATTATTTAATATAAAATATTAATAAAATTAGTTATTTTTAAAATTATAACTGCAAAATTTTCAGTTTATTAACTTATATATATATATATTATTTAATTAATAAAATTTAAATTTATATTATTAAATTATATATAAAATTTAATCTTGAAAAATTTAAGAGCTAACTTATTAAAATGCTATTTAAAGTAAAGAATTTTTATTTAAAAATTATATAAAAAAGTGAGTTATTATTTTGTAGTTAGATTTATTATAAAATAACAATTTTTTTTGTATAATTATTATATAAATATTCTTTGTTCTAAAGATAATTAATTTTATTAATAACTTTAAGTATACTATATTATATATAATTAAAATTATAAATTAATATTAAAATTGTATATACAGTGACAATCAGAAATAATGCAAATACATTAAAATTTATTAATTAAAAATAGTAAAATACAAATTTTTCTTTTATATAAAAGTTTTCAACTTTATAAATAAATATTTTTTATTTTTACATTAAAATAAAGATAATAACACATATTTAACATATAAAATCAATTATATTTTATAATTAAAATATATAAAAAATAATTAACTTTATATATAATTAAAATAGTTTTATCAGATTGAATCTAAAAAATCAGAAAAAATATATATTAAAATATATAATATTATCTTTATTTTAATATAAAAATAAAAAATATTTATTAAAAACTTTTATATAAGAGAAAAATCTATATTTTACTATATTTAATTAATAAATTTTAATATTATTACATTGTTTTTAATTGCTATTATAAATACTTTATAAATAATAAATTATCTAAGTTGAATAATGAATTTTACAAAAATTTATTATTATTCCAAAATTTACTATTTTGCTTATAATTAAAATATTTTTTTTGCAAATAAAATTATAAAATTGAATTATTATAATAAAATTCAAGTTATAATATTTATATAATTTTTTTATAAATTATTAATTTTTTTATTTAAATAAATCTTTAGCAAATAAATTTATTTATTAATATTTATAAATAAAAAATAATTAACAAATAAAATATATTATTAATTTTAAAATTAAAAAATTTTTGATAATAATAATAAAAATAATAATTTTTTTTAAAATTTTTTATAATATTAATATTTTAATAATTTAATAAATATTTAAGTTAAAATTATAACTCAAATTAATTCAATAATAATATATATATAATAGTTAACAGAATCATAAAATTATATATATAACTTTATTAATAAAATATAGTAAAAATTAAAATTTTTGTCTTATATAAATGTTTTCAATTTTTTAATAAAAATTTTTATTTTTATCAAAAATAAAAATTATAAGTTATAAGTTGTAGTTTAATATATATTTTTTTTGACAAAGTTATTTTAATTACAAAATATTTTATAATTAATTTTATAAAAAATTTTTGCAATAACTTTGTGATTAAAATAATTTTGTCAGAAAAAATATATAACTTATAATTTTTATTTTAATATAAAAATAAAAAATATTTATTATAAAATTAAAATATTTATATAAGATAAAAATTTCAATTTTTACTATATTTTATTAATAAAATAGTATATATAATTTTATAATTCTATTAGTTGCTATATATTAATAATAATTTTAAATTTATAAACTTAGAATTAATTTTGATAAATTTTTATTTATTTATATATTATTATATATAATAACAATAAAAAAATATAATAATATCAAAATTTATTAATTATATATAGTAAAATGTGATTTTTCTTTTATATAAAAGTTTTTAATTTTATTAATAAATATTTTTTAATTCTATATTGAAATAAAGATAATATTATATTTTAATATATATTTTAATATATTTTTTTTGATTTAATTTGATCAAATTATTCTAATTATATATAAAATTAATTATTTTTATTATAAAAAATAATTAACTTTATATATAATTAGAACAACTTAATTAAATTAAATTTAAAAAATACAAAAAAATATATAATATTACTTTATTTTAATATAATATAAAAAATATTTATTAGTAAAATTAAAAAATTTTATATAATTTTCATATACTTTTGTATTTTTTGTATTATATTTATTATTTTTTGTATTGTATTTATCATTTTTTGTATAATATATAAGAAATTAATATAGATCTACATTTAATACTTCTTAATATTTTGCAAAATAAATTAGATATAAAATATAGAATATATTATTAATTTAAATACATATTGTTTTTAATTCTTTTTATTTTTATTTGTTTTTTTATTTTTTATTTATTATTTTTAATTTCAGATTAATTATTTTTTTTATATTTGTGTTATTATTTATATTTCATATATATTTAATTAAGTATAATATAACTTAAAGATATGTCATCTTTAAGATTAATAATTTAGAACCAATTATTCTTTATTTATTTATAATTCATTAAATATTAATTATATATTTAAATTTTCTGTTCAGTACTATATTTCTTTAAATCTTTTCACTATTTAATAAATAAAGAATAAGCTTTATTAAAATTAAAACTGAAAATTATTTCAATTTATATAATTTATTTACAATAATTAATAAATTAATCTTAATATTTTCACATAAGAAAGCATCTTACATTTTATATAAAGAAAAAACTCACATTTTACTATATATAATTAATAAATTTTGATGTTATTATATTATTTTTGATTATTATTGTAAATATATATTTTAATAATTATTTTTGTTTGAAAATAACTTTAAATAAACATAATATTTTTCAAATACTTATATTAATAAGTTGAAATAATTTTTTAAATACTAATATTAATATATTGAAATAATTTAGTATATAAATTTATATAAATAAAAATTATATTTTTAGAATATTTGTATTAATAAACATAAAATTTAATAATTAAAAATTATTAAACTATAAATAGATTTTAGCTCACTTTATTTCTTATTTTGAATACTTTTTTTAATATTTGCATATTTTTGATTCTATATTTATAATTTAAAATTCAAAATTTAAAGAGCACTTAGAGCAGTATTTATTTTATTACAACATCTCTTAATAACTTGCCATATCTCATAATATATTTCTTAAATTTTATCAATTATTATTAAAATACAAATAAAATCTAAATTCCAAAAACTTTTTCACTTATTGTACTTATAATAAAATAATTAATTAACTTAAATAATTTTAATAATATGAGATTAATTATTACCATGTCTACCTTATTTTTTTGCACCAAATTTTCTTGAGAAAAAGTGTAATAATAAATGCAATTATCTAAATACTTTAGCAAACTTGATTTGCAGGTTATAAAGGATATGTATCTAAATTATCAGAAAATTTAGTCAATATTTTTATGCACTATATCAAAATTCCGAATACTTATGGCGTCCACTGATGTATATTAAGCTGTCAATGAAAACGAAAAAAAAGTATAGCGGAAAACACCTTTGATAAAATCATTGGTTATTATCATTCATAACTTTAACGCGCATTTCTTAATTTTATTGTTTTCACCTTTATTGTGATTTGCATAATTTTTATAGATTAAAATTATACAGCTTTCATAATGCTGGCCAAAATTCAGCATAATTTGTGATAGGATCTGAACATGTGATTTACAGTCTTGGCCAAAAGTATCCGACCCTTCTTAACTTTCCGTAGATCATGTGTAATGCATCAAATTTTTCCGAGCACAAAGAACATTACAAATGCTGTTCATTGATACTTTTATAGGTTGGTAGAGCTTCTATATCGGATCATAACGATAAACTTTCACGTCACAAATATAATTAGTTATTTCATAACACACATCTCAATATTCAATAATCTAATTCTTGACGTCCAGTGACCCGATATGAACAAAAATACTACTATTCGATTCGTCTAGTCGAGACGAATCGAATAGTAGTATTTTTGTTCATATCGGGTCACTGGACGTCGAAATATTGCGTCTTAAAATAGCAACTTCATTTTTTTTTGACATTAATCAGCAGCCAATTTAGAACGTAATATCTTGACCTGCAATGATCCGATTCGAACAAAATCGATTTTTCTAGTCAAGACGAATCGGATCGCTGGAGATCAAAATACATGTATTCCGTACCGGTACGTCCTAAATTGACCGATTCATTTTTTTGGCGATCATTTATAATGAAAAATTGATCGCTAAATATGAATCGGATAACGATATTATCTCAACATCTAGCGATTAAATTTGAGTGAAAATACCACCATTTGATTTGCATAAATTAGACAAATCGAATGGTGGTATTTTCACTCAAATTTAGTCACTAGACGTTTATATATTATGCCCGAAAGTGACCGATTTATTGTATTTGGGGCATGAAAGTTTATGAACATACAATATCGATATCCAATATAGAAGCTCTACCAACCTATAAAAAAGTATCAATGATCAGCATTTGTAATGTTCTTTCTGCTCGGAAAAATTGGTGCATTACACATGATTTACGGAAAGTTAGGGGAGAAGTTCGGATACTTTTGGCCATGACTGTAAGCTTTTATTTTGATTGGTCAGAAGGTTTCGTCAATCGTCACAGGTTTCCGACATGACGAAACCTTTCGTCATTAGTCAATGCCTGCTGCTTCTGGTTCTCAACAACGACAGCAACAAAATAATAATGCATGCAATCAAACGAGAAAAATCACCTGCGCGGTCAATTTCTAGTATGCCACACAGGTAGAAAAGGGTTGGTACACTAGTGGTTTTTTTTGTGCCGGATTTCCTAGTGGTTTCCTAATAAATTTCTAATAATTCATTGAATTTAGGAGAAAATCATATAACCTCAACAAAACCACTAGGAAATCCGGAACTCCTCTAGAGGTTCACAAAAAAAATTACTAGTATGCCAAACCTTTTCTACCTGTATCCCGGGAACCATTATACTGATCATCGTCAACCAGCACAAATAGTGATAACCAAATACATGTACATGTATTATTACCAGCTAAACCAATGATCTCTTCCCGAATTACCATTAGCTATGAAAACAAAAACATCTGAGAATTACAGTAATCTTTGACATTGAGACCCGCAATAGTTCACAAATGAAGAACACTGATCGACATTCTATTCATGCACCAGAAATTATTGCAATAATACCACGTGTTCCGCCTCAAATGGAAGCTACGAAACAAATTGTTGATTTGGCCTGATTATATGAGATATTTTTTGAATTCATTGCAGGGAATCGATGACGCAGTAGCTGGTAGCCGTAATGGTGAATTAACACACCGGTGGTAGATTATTATTGTAATGATAATATTTTTTAGTGAGTATTTTTAAACAATTTGACTTGCTTAGTTTTAATTATTAAATTAGCTTTTTTTTTGAGCGTGATTTGATAGATGGAAGTAAGCAAAAGAATATATCTTCAAACTCAAAATTTATTTCTCCAAAATCAAAATTTATAAGACATCTTGATAGACTTTAATTTATTTTTCTTTTGAAACAAATACAAAAACAATTGGATACATAAAAAAACGTATATTTTAATATGAACATATGCAAAACATTCATTATATATATAAATTTTGTGGAAAAGTTTTTTCTAATCAAACAATTTATCATGAAATTAAAAGTTCTATAAAAATTGCATGTATATTCTGATTAAACTTTGGGAGAAATAGTGATTAATTGAAAATATTTCACATTATCGTGGCAATGGAATTGCAAGAATATACAGAAGAAAGATCTCTAATTGATTTTATATAATTACTGTATACTCGAGAAATAAGTTGATTTCCCGATCCTGATATTTTCAAAATAACGCCCATTTGCGTTCTTGCATATTAGATCGAATTTTATAAATTCAGAACCGGATTTCTCATTTCTATATAAGGTAATGAATACATACGTACATATAACGATAATAACGTAGAATACTTCTAACTTTACGTGCAATTTTTTTTTATTTAATGAGTTAAAAACGGATTCCTTGATTTTCTTATACCTTAATGTACACATGATATCAATCCATTGCGCGTTATTTCGAAATAAGCTTACTATTTTTAAAGGGTACGATTTTCGAAATAGCACCCATGCCCGTTATTTCGCGATTATAATGGACCATTACGCGTTGAATTGATTGTAGTTATTCATTATTCCAATGCTTCAACAAATGCTCTTTCAACTCTGGAACGGTATTCATTTTCTTTTTGCAGTGATGACATTTCATGGGAACTTTCAACAATTCTTCATATGTCTTTGTCGAGCTGTATATACATAAATTTAAATGGAAAGTCGATTTAAGTAATAATACACAAAAGCTCACCTGAATTGTTCCGTTTTCCTGCAACCTTTTTACTATCTCGTCAGAGTCTTTGAAAAACTCGGTGGTAAATGAATTGCAATATTGGTGAGATAATGTCTTGTGAGATTACATGCAAACTGGTAAAGATGTCTTACTTCATACTCGGTACTGTATGAAATCCCATTCAAAATCGAAGTTTGAGATTTTCTTGTTTTATTCTATTGGAAAAATTATCAATACATAGAATATTCACAAATTTAAAATTATATATAAAACTTACCTCTCAATAATTCACCCGCCTTTCTCTTTTACCGTTTAAATCAATTGTAAATCATCACTGGACTGGTTAGCTCATCAATAAAGTTAATCTACGTCTTAGCATCACCAAAAGATGCTTTTTTGCTTTTGGAAATTTGTCCCAAATGATAAAAAATTCGTTGTCATAAAAGTGCACTTCATTATCTGGATATTTCTCCGGGTCTTCAAGATATCCGAGAAGAGCATTTTGCCATTGAAATCCATTATTAGCTTTTTCGTCGACTGAAATGGTGGACAGCTTAGTAGCGGTTAATGAAGACTTTGAATTGATTAAAAGATATAAATAAAACAATTAAATCTCACTAACAAGCTGAACTTGGATTGTCCTTGCTCTATTTTGGATTTTCTTCTTGTCCTTTGGTGTATATTTCTGGCAACGTATAATGCATTGAGATGCATCAAACATCGTTCTATACGCGCGTCATTCAACAATTTTTTTATTCGGATATTGAAACAGGATGTACATGTATATTAATCTGTTAAAATATTGATCCAATGGACAACTGCAATGATGATAAAAAGAAACATCAACCATCGCAGTTAACTTAAAAAGATCCCGTGGTTCAAGTGAGAGATTTATGCCGATATTAAATTGTGCTGCATAATAACGATAATGTTATAGACCAAATGACTCTATTTGATAGGCTTTAAAAATGACTAATTGTTTGTATGGCGCAAGTTTATTAATAAATGCATTTTGATTGGTTAAAAATTAATTGTCGTTATTGATTTAACGTTAATTTGCGACTCACATATAGAACAGAACGTAAAATAAAAATGAAGACAGACCTATTATTGACTTCACACTCGAATAAATTGGCGAAATTTTATGAAAACGCCAAATATTGCGACATTTCAATCACCGTTGGAGACACTCGAAATACTGAGAAAACTTTTACAGCGCATTCGTCAATACTAGTGGCGCAGTCAGAATATTTTGCTGTTGCTCTTTCCAACGCGTGGGTGAAACGAGAACCAAACAAACTAATCGTCTTTAAGAAACCAAATATTGAACCGCGTATTTTTGAAATTTTATTAAGGTAATCAGGTAATCCTTATTTTTAAAAAGATATTTTAGAATTATATTAAACTGAAATTCATCTGTATTATAAGATATATGTATAGTGGCAAGATCGATTTGTCAGATCATGGAATACCAACGCTTATAGATTTATTAGTTGCTGCCGATGAATTGATTCTTGAAGATTTGATTGAATATGTTCAAGATTATCTTTTGGAGCAACATGTTACATCCATGGTTGAAAACTTCGATATGATCAATCAGCTTGTCTCTCAACATAACTCCTTTATTAAACTCCATGAATTCTGTTTACATATAGAAGTGTCATGTAACGATCTGTCTGCAGTTTTTCACTCAAGTGATTTTACAAAAATTCAAGAAACAGAAATTGTCTCTTTGCTCAAACGAGATGATTTGAATCTTAAAGAAATTGAAGTTTGGGAAAAGATACTTGAATGGGGAATCGCGCAAGGGTCAGCTTCTGGCAACGTCGATTTATCAATTCCAATGGAACATTGGTCACAAGATGAATTCAATCAACTCAGCAGCACTACGCTCAAAAATTGTCTTCCTTTAATCCGTTTCTTTCATATAAACTCTGTTGATTACTATAACAAAGTGATGCCATACTCGGAATTATTATCGGAAAAACTTCACAAAGCTTTATTGCACCATTATTTGGTACCTGGAAGTGAGGAACAAGAAGTATCACGTCACCCCATCCGTGAGTCACATTATTCAATATCGACAGTTCTTTCTTGCGACAAAATCAAGCAAACGATTCAATGGATAAAAGAAAAAGATCGCAAAAAAAATTATGCATTCAAAATTAAACTGTTGCTACGTGGCAGCCGAGATGGATTTACAAAAGAAGATTTCCATTTTTTATGCGATAATAAAGGCCCAACCATTGTTACTATTCGTGTCAAAAATTCTAGCAAAATTATTGGTGGTTACAATCCTATTGGATGGAAATCTCTTAATCAAACTTATTATGGATTAAAGAGCTGCTTTTTATTTAAATTTGACGATATGGGATCACGTGGAGTTTTGAGTAAATTTAAATCTGGTTTTAGTGTAAATGATTATTCAAGCATAGGTCCTAGTTTTGGAGGTTCTGACTTAGCTTTGTTTACTTCTTCAGGCAATTATTGTCGCAAATCTTGTTATGAGTTTGGCCTTCTAAGCGAACTAGATCAACAAGTATTTTTTGATATTGAAGATTATGAAGTATTTCAAATAGTTCAGAATTAGATCCTTTCTTTAATGTTTGTATTAAGTAACAATATTATTTCTTAGTATATATAGATATTTTAGCATTATAAAAACATTTTCTATCAAATCAATAAAATAATAATTTTTGTTTGAAAATTCCCAGAATTATCAAAGTTATGCGAACTAGATTCGATACAAATAGCACATTCCATAAAAACGAATATTCAAAGATTTGTCATTGCAAATTTGAATCCATGTCCTTTCAAATATCTGCAATCTTTAGACACTGAAACTAATGTGCTAATTAAATCATTGACCCTATAAGAAAAATATGCCTGCAAATTTCGATTTATGTCTGTAAAAAAATACGAATACGAAAAAGTAGAACTTCCAACAAATATAAATAACACATCCACATTTCAATACATATCGAATATTTAGAATTCACAAGTATCAGTCTGTATGTTCCAAAAGAAGGTAAAGTTGCTTGTTATATTATTTTTATTATATATATTGTGATTACTGAATGTGATATAGGTATTGATGCCGAATCTATAATAAGTGTCAGATTTATAAAACAAAACATATGAAGGTACGTATATATTACACACATGTAGTTTAGATTACCGTATATCTCATCACAATTATTTGCCTAGTCTGATTTCACACAGATACACATGTCCAAGGTATCTGGGTGAAACTTTTATACACAATTCTGAATTATTTGAAATACCTCATAATCTTCAATATCAATATCTTGTTTGAATTCACTTAAAAGACCAAACTCGAAGTAGATTTGTAACAATAATTACCTGAAAATGTAAATGAACATAAGTCAAAACCCCTTCCAAAACAAGGCCCACGTTTGCATAGTAATATGCAACACTACCAAATTTATATTTACTTAAAACTCCATTTAATCCCATAATGTCATCAGAATCAAATTTAAATAAAAAGCTCACTATCGAGCAAGCTGGACCATGAGATTTCATCTTGTTAGAATCTTTGACACGAATAGCAACAATGGTTGGGCCTATATGCAAACATAAACTGTGGGAATCACTAGCGGTAAATCCATCCAGGCTGCCACGTAATAATAGGATAAATTTGAATGGGTAATTTTACCTTGTTATTTTATCCATTGACTCTCCTTGTTTAATTGTTTGCAAGAAATAACTATTGATATTTGATTTCGGATGGGTGGGGTGAAGCTTGTTGTTCAGTGATGGTAAATGCTGACAATAGTAATATTTATTATAATTATGAGTATTAAATATTATTTTTGAGTATTAGTGATGATAGTTGTATTTTATGTTTAAAATGAAGATTTATATGTGGTGGAGTGAAAGTTATTTATATGTGTTTGTTAAATAATTTATGTATGAAAAGTAATATGTATATTCACAAGGTGCATGAAATGAAGAAGAGTTAAAGTCA